AGAAGTTGATTTCAGGTCACTGTCAAGACAGGATATTCAACTTCTGGTGGGTTATGGCTGCCCAAGTACAGACAAGAAAGTGGTTTTCTCTGCAAAGTTATTGAGAAAGCATGTCCACCTTGATGAAGGAGATGTGAGTTTGCTTCCTTAACTACTTAGGCTATTAGTAGAATACTCCACAATACATCTGCCTCCTCTCTCCTTTTCAATAAAATCTGTTTTTCTTAATAATTCATAATTTTGTTTCATTTGGAAAGATAGCTGCTATATATGATATGCTGTAGTTATGTTATCCGCTTGACTTTAGTAAATGGGACTGTTATACATGGTATGAATTCAAAGAACTAGGATACTTGTCTTCTCAAACCAAAAAACATCGAACTTAGAAAAGTGTAAGATCCTTCATTCATTTTTCCCCTTGCATCAAATTTACTCTTAAGTTATTATTTTTTTTAAAAAAAGACTCTGATTGAACTCTTTAACTTCATTTGGAAAAAAAAAATTGATGATATGAGCATGTTGTGGTGATTAATATTCACTTTATTTATTTTTTTGTTCCCAATATTTATCTGATTTTCAAACAGTTTATTAATAGCTTACAGATTGCTCTTCACATGATGACCGTCTATATATAATATCAGGTCTGTAGTTCCTGCAGTTTAAGGACATCATGTGAGAAAGGATATCTGCTAACAAATAAAGAGGATGAGGCACGCACAATTGACGTCATGCGTGTCCTGCTGACATATGGTTTTGATCCATTGGATGGATCTTTGGTCAATAAATCTGTTCTAAAACAAAAATCGGTTAAGAATGTAGTCCGCAAGTTGCTTCATGAGGTAGTTAAGCTGAGTTCTGTTCCAATAGATCCAAATCTTCCGCCTCCAGTGATAAAGAAGCCTCCACCAAAAGTGAAGCAACCTCCTCCCCCTCCAAAGAAACGGGTAGGACGTGATGATGTTGAGATGAAGAAAGGTGATTGGTTATGTCCCAAGTATGTGATATATCTCAAAACTCAAAGTTCATGACTTGTTCTTTGCGACTACATTTGTTTTTTTTTTTTTTTCAGTTTGCAAGATCTAATTTACAGTCTGTATTAATTTTTCTAGTAAAGTTACCCAATAGACATCCTTGGTTCGGAGTCCATCATTGAGATGTAATAAATAATTAGCCATGTATATAATATATTGACGCTATAGCCTATTATTAGTTTAAGGGCATGAGATGAAACTTATGTTGTCTAGCTTTCTTTGAGTTCTAGAGATTTTCTAATTCACAAAATATCCTGAAATTCTTATCAGGTGTGATTTCATGAATTTTGCGAAAAACACAGTTTGCCTACAATGTGACGCTAAACGGCCAAAGAGACAGCTTCTTCCAGGAGAATGGGAATGCCCCGAGTATGTTTTTGTAATAATATACTTTTTCTCCCTTGCTGCTACCCTGTTTGACTGCCTTGTTTGCATGATTTTCACTTAAATACCTCAATTATATTCAAGTACCTCTGCAGTTGTTAAGCTTACCTTATTGTTTTGTTCCTTTGCTTACTGTCCTTTTTGCACTGTGGTAGATGCAACTTCTTAAACTATCGGAGAAATGTGACATGTTTCCATTGTGACTGCAAACGGCCACCTGATGAATTAGTAGAAACTAAAACATTAGAAAAGCAGCATGGGCTCAATATGGGGTTGAAGAAGGTTGGCAGCAGGCACGAGGTTTCTAATGCCTGGAATTTTGACTTCGATGATAATGAATCAGATGGGGCAGATGTTGCTGCTTTCGAGTATGCAGATTCTTCTGTGATGGGTGAAGATATTCCTTTGGACAGTAAAGCTCGTCAGACAAATTTTAAAGGACCTGAAGATGAATTCAGTGGGGCTAAAGGAGTTCCAAGATCCAGCAGAAGAGAATACGCTGCTCCTGACCATGGTAGGCCAGGCACGGGGTTTGACGATTTTGATGAAGATGACGTTGACAGCTATGAGATTGACACTCAGAAACAACCAGTCAGGAAGTTTTCTTCTAATGATTTTTCTGAAGTTGAAGGATTTTCTGAATCAGAAGACAGTGAAATGTCCAATAGCAATTCATTTGCTCATCGCAGGACCCCATCTTCAAATAAGACAACTAAATATGTGCAGCGAAGACAAGCTTTCTCTGGCTCAGAAAATGATGAATTGAGCTCTGATTCAGATGAAGAGATTTCTGTTCACCCCAACTGGAAATCCAGTCATATTGCTGATTCTAGACATAGAGATAGAGGAAGAGGTCCTAAGAGGGGATTGAGCTTTGGCTCGGATGAAGAACTTGGAGTTGACTCGGATATAGATGATAATCTTGGTAGGGATTTTGGTGACAGACAAAGAAAAGGCAGAGGGAATTTTAAGAGTACAAGAAGTTCAGGTTCTTTCAGTGGTTCAGTATCAGACAGTGACGATGACCTACATTCTTGGAGAAATAAGTCAGCTGGAAATAAAGTACGAAACCGCGGGAAAGGAAAGAGTTTTAATGATGGGGGCTTTGGTAGGATTACGCAGGCTAGATCCAAAGGGAGAACTAACACCAGAAGGATCCACTGGATGATGATTACGATGCAGTATCTCGGGGGTCTGGGGTAATAAAGAGAGGGATTTCAACAGAATGACTCTGGTAGGTGGAGAACAAGTGACAGGAGTCGTGAGCAGCAGAGTTTCAACAGACCTAAACGAGAAAAGATTTGGAAAATCAACAGCGTAGAAGGTCTACTGATTATGGCAAGGATACAGATTACGGAGAATTTAGAAACAGTAGACGTGTAATGAAAGATGAGTGAAGCTGTGGCGCGGTTACTGTGCAACCAGTGATCAGTTTCCATGAGAATTTACTCTCGTACACAATCCCTTCCAGAAATCGAAGGGAGGGGAAGATGATGCTTTCGCCTCGCCTTGACTCAGTAATCCAAACTCAGCTCGAAAGGAATTCGAGCAGGAAGGTTAGATTTGGCAACAGTCCTGAGGAGGATTTCCATTCTTCTTAAAAGCCTTATATCTGTCTTATCTGCTGAACTACCAACCTTCTTTTTAAGTTTATGTTTGGAAGAAATGAATTTCAGGTGTGAAAAAATTTATTTGCATGAATCAGATTATATGTATATGAATTGGTTCAATGACTTTTTTTCACTTTGCAGAAATCATATCATTTCATATTAATATGTAAAATGAATTCATAAATTTTTCTCAATAATTTTGTATTTATATCATCATATACAGTAATTATTTATATCAATGAATTCATATGTGTTTGTTTTATGTGTCTATTTATGAAATATAACTAAAAAATATTGAAGTCATATTTTGAATGTTAATTTACTTTATTTTTTTTTAATTTTTACAACAATACTATAAGTTCAAAATTTTTCTACAATAGCAATCTATATTTTTAAGTATAATCAGAATTTTTTTATTTATTTATATTGTGTTACTCAAAATTAAATTTATTAGAAACAAATTATTTTTAACACCACATATATTGTGATTTTGTGATTTAAATGTTAATACAAAACCATATAATTAAAAAAATATGAATTAGAAAATAATTATTTTGATGAAATTAAAATATTTAAACATAAAAAAATTACATAATTTACAAAACTAAATTCTTATAAATTAGTTTTGTCACTCTCAATCCCCCTTAATTTTGAAATTAGGATGCCAAATCTGGTTTATACAAGGCACTTCCGGGGTCGAAAGTTAAAATTCAAGAAATTTAGGATCTCCGTGAAATTATGGAGAAGTTTAGGGATCTCTGTGAAATTATGGAGAAGTTCAGGGACTCTTCACAAGTACACTCGCAAAACTTTCAAATATAATCTGCTAATGTTACCCGCACAGTGCACCGAACGAAACCCTGATATCGAGCCGTACAATTAATATCATGTCCACGTGTACGGAGATTAAGGGACCAGGATAGGTCTATAGTCGTCCTCTCACAACGAAAGATGCCACTGAGAAAAAGAAAAAATAAAAAAAAAAATTAAAAACAAAAAATGAAAGAATCTGATTGGCTGAACAACCTTTATATTCAAGTTTCGCGGCAACGCCTCACTCTCTGTCTCTCTCTCTCTCTCTCCTCTCTCGCAGATTTTCTCTCTCTAAAATGTTCTCTCTCTAAAACCCGCTCTCCGGGAAAAAGATCTTCACTTTCTCACCCCGTTACTCCATCGTGTTGTTTATGGTCCGGAATCAGATCTCGGAGAACTAATCGGCAAGCGTGTGGCCTTCGATCTGTACGGTAGGGTTTAAAAGTTTTGGCTTTTTTGTTCTCTTTTGAAAATTTTGGTTCTGTTTGGCTTCTTTTTCCTGGAAAATTTTTGGATTCAAAGTTTCTGTGACTTGTCTTCCCGGGGGGGGGGAAGGAAAGAGCTTCTCGATTTCAGGTGGGTTTTGAAGCTGTTTCTTGAAACCGCCGTTGAAGACGAGTAAATTCGTTTTGGGTTTTTTGAAGTGAATTTCAAATTTCCGGTTCTACTTTTTATGAAAATGCATGTCTTGGCTTGAAATTTTTCTTGTTGATTGTTCTTGGAAAGTGATCCTGCTGATGGTTGAATGGCTCTTGGCGTTTTTGAATTAGTGTTGTGGTTTTTTAACTGAATCCTTGAGGGCATTCCATAGTGAATTTGAATTTGGGGTTTTCGCTGATACGTGAGTTTTGGGTGTCTCGTAGAATTTGAATACAAACTCCAATTCTGTCATTCAAATTTCTTTTCTGGAATGGGTTTTTCTCCAGCATTTTTTTTTAAATCTTCGGGGAAGGTTAAAAACATTGATGTTGAACGCCTTTAAGTAATCTGGGAATACACTAGTTCTATCGATTTGTGGGGTGGTAGATCATTAGTATTCTCTCCATTCTGATCAACCAATTTGATTCGCCAACTAATGGTTAGACTGATCTGGATAGTGATGGCACCAACAAGGAAATCAAGGAGCGTGAACAAGCGATTTTCAAATGAAATCTCTCCAGACAAAAGTTTTGCGAACTCAAGCAAAACTAAGCAGCGGGTGAGTATTAATGGTTATGCCCTTTTGCTGAGACTTGAGCTGTCAAAAGCTGAAACCTGATGACTTTTCCTTGAAAAATTTCATATCTTCGTACTGGTGCAAATATTTCATACGGTGTTGTACTCTGTGGAGTTTTTGCTTTTGAAGTTTGGTTGAGAATGATCCTCAGTCTCTGACGTTAATAATAGGGTTCACTTTTTTACAACATTCTTATGACTTTGAGGCCTTTTTTCTTGAAACACGTTAAAATGTAGACTGGATTTTTAAATCGAGACATTCTTTTTTAAGAAACCCATATTCAAGGAATTGCAAAATCTTGCAATAAATCTCTCCCCCCACCCGCCTTCCTTTCTCTGTGGGACTTCTGTATGATTGGATGTTTTTTTGGTGACTTAACTATCATACTTTTTCTTCTCAGAAGAGGAAACTGTCTGATAAATTAGGACCACAGTGGACCAAGGGAGAGCTTGCACGTTTTTATGAAGCCTACCGGAAATATGGAAAGGATTGGAAGAAGGTGGCATAGTGTTTATTCATTTGGTGGCTTTTTTGAGGAGGATTGCCTATTAAAATATTTTCTTTTCGCTTTGTTGTATGTCCAGGTAGCTTCTCTAGTGCGGAATAGATCTGTCGACATGGTGGAGGCCCTTTATAATATGAACCGGGTGTGTATAGTCTATGCTAATTGCTTAAACAATTACCATAATCATTCTGGATTTTTTAGACTACCAGTAATACCCTTCTGTCCCTTGATTCTATTAGTTGGTATTTTGCTTTTCTGCTAGTTCTTAAATATAGCAGTTACAATTTTTGATAGCATAAGCTATAGTTTTTGGTATATTTTCTTGTTGTAAACATTTTTACATTTATGCACTTTAAACTTTCAGGCATACTTATCCCTACCAGACGGAACAGCTTCCGTAGTGGGCTTAATAGCAATGATGACAGACCATTATAACGTCCTGGTGAGATTTGATTTTGAATTTTTAGGTCTCAACCTTCTATATATGCTGAAGAATGTGATTTCTCATAATTAGCATCATCGCTACTAACTTTAAGTTAGATTATCTTAGAAAATAATACAAGTAATAAAGTTTGTCCTTTCCTATTTGATTGTAAGCTTTTTGGATAATTGCATTACTCGACTTAATTGTTTCCCTGGCACTGAAACAAAAGGTAGTGTCTTAATTCATCAAAAAAAGAGGTATTGGGTTAAAAGTGGTTAGTTTGCATTTGGATTTGTTTGCATTCAGATTTGTGTCTACATGCCAATCTTGTTAGAACAAAATTAATTGATAGAGTTTGATCTCTTCTCCACCCAATCAGTTATTTCACAGTCTATGTTTAGAAGTTTGGCTCTTCTTGTTATACTCCCTTAATTTGGTTACTTATCCATGTTAATCTTTCTAGAATATTTGCCTTTTCACTGGGTTTTTTTTGGGGGTTTGGTGGAGGGGGAACAGAACTTCTACTTCAAGTTGTTACCTTAGAAAGAAGTCTCGTGTCCTTCACACTATATGCTCTTAGCTCTTTTCATTTTGTTTTTTATGTTTTAATTTTTTCAAAGAAAGTGGCAAATACTCATTACTCTCTGAATTTATAGCTGTCATTTAATTGCTGAAAAATCATATCTTTGCTGTGAATTGACAGGAAGGTAGTGATAGTGAAAGAGAGAGTGATGATGCTTTTGGAGTACCATTGAAGCCTCAGAAACGCAAGCGAGTGAAAGTTCAGCTTAGTAACTCAAAAGAAGATAACTATAATTCTCAACTAGTTACATCGGGTGATGGGTGCCTCTCAATGTTGAAGAGGGTACAATCTTATGGTAAATACCTCCCTTTAGTTAGGCATGCAAGAAAAGAGTTGACAATTATTTCTGGTCAATGAGATGGTTTTGATGTACCCTAGAATTCTTCCATGATGTCCAAGTTCTTTAGTGTGACAATGACTTCTAACTAAATCATTTAGTTAAAACTTTGATGGTTGTTTTTTTTTTCTTTTGGTTTATTTCCAGTGGCTTGATAGCCCTTCATTATCAGCAGGAAGGCATAAATTAAATACACCTGTCGTTCGTGGTATTTATTTGAAGTGTGAATTGCACTGCTGATAGTTCTGAACTTTTCTTAGGTACCCATCTCCGTGCAACTGGAAAAAGGACTCCTCGTGTCCCTGTCTCATACCTACACAAGAAAGGTGACAGAGAAAGCTCCATTGCACCAACCAAATTATTTAGAAAGTCTGATGTTGTTGCTAACGAAGATGATGCCCGTGTGGCAGCATTGGCTTTAGCAGAAGCATCTCAATTGGGAGATTCTCCCAAAGTTTCTCTGAAACCTTACCGCAAAAAAGAGCCCAACAAAACTTCATCTGTTGGGAGCTGGGAGAAGGTTCTTTTTCATTCATATAATTTTCTTCCAGTAATTGTTCTAATGCCTGTATTATTTTTCTGTGCTCTTGATTTAGATGATTTGTTTCCTTTGCATGTGACTAGTCCAACCTTCATGATGCTTCAATTCATGAAGATTGGGTAGAAGGTGGTAGAGGAAGCAGGAAATGTGAAAATGGAACTTATGTCAGAGATCGAGGCTCCTTAACAGATATTGAAGGAGTAGGTACCGTAGAAGTTCTTCGAAAAGGGAAAAAGTTCTATGGAAAGAACGTGAAAATTGAAGAAATTGGAACCAACAATTCTGATGAAGAAGCATGCAGCGGAACTGAAGGACTTAAAGGCAGTTCTCCAAGAGGGAAACTTGACATTGACATTTTAAATGTCAAAACACAGCAGTGTTCACAGGTCCGGAAGAAGAGAAGCAAGGAACTTTTCTTCGGAGGTACATTCTAGCTAACCAGATAACCGGGAAGATAGGGTTCTAATGGTTTCCCTGCAACAATGTTCATCTAGTACCTTAGAATCCATATAACTCCCATCATCGATGTGAATTGAAATAAAATTCTTTTTGTTGTTGTTGCTCCATACACAGATGAAAGCTCTGCATTGGATGCTCTCCAAACGTTGGCTGATTTGTCGACTTTAATGTTGCCAGTATCTACTGTTGAATCTGGTAAGTTTTGACTGTTCCTGTTTTACTTTTATAAACTGTTTTCTTTGTAGATATTCAAGATATTTCATGCACTTAATATTTAATCAACATGTTGCATCTAGTATCTGAATTGACTTGTCAAATTAGATATCAAATATAGTGTATATTCTAGATTTACATGCAACATAATCTGTGATATCTTTATCCTACACTGGATAGAGTGTATTGATTGAAGCCATTGAGCTCAAGTTTTTATA